TTGAGCCATGTCTGGCATAGAGAGAGGCTTATAAATGCTACGCTACACCAGGCGGTATAGTATAAGTGGTTAAGAAAACCAGAGGTCCTGGGTTCAAATCCCAGGGCCGGGACTCGAACCGGGACTTTCTATCTCCATGCTGGTGTTTTTCCTCTGCAGCCCTGCCTCCTGGGCTTCAAATTCTTCCTTCCCCAACAAAGCAGGCAGCCCATCCTCTCCTCTCTTAACACACAGAACACCCAGCAATAAACATCTCATCATTAGTTAGCCTGCCCCACCGCCCCCCAGCCCTTTCTCTCAGACCCTCCCAAGGTAATCCCAAAAGAGATTCCCCATTTAGAGGCAGCGCCCCAGGTCTGGGGGAGGGGGCGTGGTGAATGCACGAGGCAGAATGAATCCTGTAGACCCCCCGGGGTGTGGGTGGGGTGGGGTGCCCAGGATGGGGGGCAGGTGCTGTGCCTCAGGGCTTGGGGTGGGTCTACCATCAATGATTGGGAGACTCAGAGGTGTGACCCCAGATCCAGCCTGGCCTCACCTACCCCCAGCCTTCCTGCCTGCACCTTCGTTTCGTGGAGGGGTTAGTTCCAGGCCTTGGAGCTGACATCAGAGGACCCAGGGATTCCCCTCACTAGCCCAAGCTGAAAGAAGGGGACTTGAATTCCAGTCTTCATTCTGTCACTGATCTGTTGCGTGGCCCTGAGGAAGACTTCCCCTCCCTAATTCCATCCTGATGTCACATCTGAAGCTTCTAACTTCTACTTCCTAGGCTCAGGATTCCCATGCAACCCCGTGGAGTGCCCCACTGGGTCCAAGCCATAACGGGGTACTCGGAAAATGATCATAAAATTGGTGGATGGTTCTTTCTCCTCTTTTTTTTAATCATCTAGGTTTTAATTTCCCTACGTAATAGCAGCATTTGAAAACCGTTACTACTTTTAAATGAGGAACCTGAGGTCCAGGGCTGGCCAGTGACTCACCTGAGGTCACCAGAAGTATTAGCTACATACTAGAGTCCAGAGCTTGGCGCCCTTGGCTTCCTTTCCAGCCCTTCCCAGCCTTCACCACATCCCTTCCATTTCCTGCTGGGAGCCCAGCCCAAACTTCAGCTCACCTGCCAAGATCCACATCTGGAAACAGAGGCCCAGGCAGACAGAAAGGGGCCCAGCCCCATCCTCCAGGTATGGGGACAGAGGCTGGAGCCGCCCTCCTTGGCTCTCTGGTTTCTTGGTGAAGATCTGCTAAGATTGTCTGCTAAGGACCGTACCCAGCTGCCCAGCTTCCCACTTGACATTGTCAGTACCAGTTGTAGCTACTGGGGACATCTGTGCACATAACTGGCACGAATGCCCACCCTTGTGGGTCTCAGACTCTAGCACATGGAGACAGACCAAAAAAGGGGAGAGAGAAAGTGTTAGATGTTTTTAAATGTTATGTAGAAAAATAATGCAGGGAAAGGGATAGAAAGTGGGCGGGGAGGGACGCCTGGGTGGCTGTCCGTTAAGCATCTGCCTTCGTCTCAGGTGATGATCTCAGGGTCCTGGGATGGAGCCCCAAGAAGCAGGCTCCTTGTTTCTCCCTCTCACTCTGCCTGCCACTCCCCCTGCTTGTGCTTGCTCTCTCTCTCTCTCTGTCAAATAGGTAAACAAAATATATATATTTTTTAAAGTGCCGGGGGGACTTAATAGATACAAGCAAATAATTTCAATGAAGTGAACATATATTAAAGATAACGTCCACAAACTATGATTACATGGGATTTCTGGAATCTAATGAAGAGAATCTATAAAAAGCTAAGAATAAAATACTTAATGCAGTTTAAAGCTTACTTGCTGAAATGAAGAAAAAAATACAGATATTCACTATCACATCTAGTTAACATGCTGGAGTACAGAGCTAGAAGAACAAACAACACAATTGTGCATTTTTTAAAAAGACTTTCATTTATTTTTTGACAGAGAGACAGTGAGAGAGGGAACACAAGCAAGGGGAGTGGGAGAAAGAGAAGCAAGGGGAGTGGGAGAAAGAGAAGCAGGCTTCCCGCTGAGCAGGGAGCCAAAGCTTGGCTCGATCAAGACCCTGGGATCATGACCTGAGCCGAAGGCAAACGCTTAACAACTGAGCCACCCAGGCGCTCACCCCACAATGTGCATTTTTTAAAGGTATAAAATCTATAAAATCTCTTTAAAGGTATAAAGCTTACCTTTTACAACCAGAAACGAAGTAGGACAAAGTACAAATTAATGGTCTTTCCTGAACTCATCAAGGAACTGAGGTGACAAGGCAAGCAACTGACCTCACATTCAGAACAGGATAGATATCTTCAGTTAGAAAATAGAATATTTATTTACTTACGGCAGACACTGATAAGTACCATCTAAACTGACAAAAATAGTAATCTGGAATTTTGTTTTAACAAAACCCACTGCAAATTAAAAACATAGGTTAAAAATGAAAGTATGTTAAAAAAAAAAAAGAAAAAGATAAACCATGTAAACACTAATCAAGAAGAGCAGGACTCACCGAATTGATTTCAGACAGAGTAAACTTCAGGGGAAAGAAATGCAATATTATCGTGGGTAAAGAGAGAGAGACATCACACTCTGATAAAAGGACAGTTCTTCAAAAAGACGTAACAATCTTAATTGTGTCTCTACCTAAAGAATATAGCATCAAAACACATGAGAGAAATTGATAGATCTAAAAGGAAAAAAAATATATATATCCACAGTTATGGTTGGAAATTGTGACATTTCTTTCTAGAAAAAAGAAAAGAGAAAGTGCCAAGGGCAGAATTGTGTCTTTTAATCAGGTCAGTGAGGACTCTGTTTGAGAAGGTGACATTGGAGCAGGGATCATAAAAAGAGAGTGGGCTTTGCAGATAACCAAAAGAGTGTTCCAGGCAGAAGGGACAGCAGGTGCAAAGGCCCTGAGGCAGCAGCATGCCTGGCATGTTCTAGGAGCAATGAGGGAGAGAGTATGGCCGGAGTGGTATGAATGAGGATAGAGTAAGCAAGATAAACAAATATATGATATCCATTGCAGACAGGACTTATGGCAGGAAGGAATGAGCTATTCAGGGGAGGAAGCCTGTGACAAGGGGTAAGCTGAGAAGGGGGGACTACCGAGAATACAGTGAGGGCTTTCTAGGCAAAAAGAAGAGCTTGTGGAAAGGCAAGCTGGTATGAGATGGTGCATCGTATTCAAGCACAAATCTCCAGTTGCTGGAACAGAACAGGGCGTCGGGCAGGGATGAGGCTGCAGGGATCAGCCTTAGCCAGACAGGGATGTGCAGAGAATCAACAAGAGACAGAAGGCCTTGGGGAACCCTCAGAGAAGGTCGGGAGGATTGGGAGGTTGTGGTGATAGAGCGGGAGATGGAATTCAAGGTTTGAGAGGCACAGCAGTTCTGAGCAGTTCTGGGTAAAGGATGGGGAGTGGCTGTGGTCAGAGGGTAAGTGGGCTGGCTTGCCTCCAGGACGTATGGCAGGACTTGGGGGACAGCCAGACCGGGGTCTGTCCTCACAATCAGTCTCAGGATGTTTGCCCCACCCCCACCCCCAAGTGGGGAGCCTCAAGGGCATGGGGTGTGGGGGAAAGAGCTGTCACCACTAGGGGACACTGCAAGGGAAACTATTTCGGGCTAGGGAGGTGCCAGCTGCTCGCTCTTCCTTTTCCTTCTCCTCCAGGCAACCGTCTGGGATTGCTCCCCCAAATGTACTGGTACTTCCCAAGCAGTTGGTTCCAGGCGGCCCTACTGGGCAGGGCCAATATAGGGCTGAGGAGGCAGAGTATAGAAAGGGAAAGCCCCCTTGGTTTCTGTCTCACTGCAGGGACCCAACAGGGAAACCCCACATGATCCCAAAAGGAAAGTGGGCCTTGGGGAAGACCGAGAAACCCCCATCTTGTCCCTGAAGATGGAAAATCCAGGGTGGTGCTAAGGGTGGAGTTGTGCTGGAAGGGAGACTGGTGGTTGGTACAGACCAGCCCTGACAGCCATCCGCAGAGCAGAAACACAGAGCTGGATTATTCTGGGACCTGACTGAGCCCCATCCTGACCTCACACAACCCCAGCCTAGTGAGCCCTGACCCTAGACATCAACAGAGCTCTTATCCTAGCCCAAGCCTGGGCACTGACCTGAGTCACGGGCTCTGTCAGAACCACAGCCCAAGCTCTGCACCCAATCTGGACAAGAGCTCGAAGCCCATCCCCAAATAGTCCCAAGCAGACCCTCCAGGTCATTGAGAGCTCTGACCCCAAGTGCCGACAGAGATGGGATGTTGACCCCAGACAAAGCTCTAGACAAAGTCCAGCTCTAGACCAAGTCCTGATCCTAGTTATAGACTGAGTGCTAATCTTAGATCTTACTCTGATCAAAGACTGAGCTGTTGGCTCTGAAGGGAGACATTCTCCTCCGCCCTGACCTTGGCCGTAGACTGAGCTTTGATCTTGCCCAGCCTGGGACCCCACAGCTCCACATCAAACCCTATCCCAGCTCCACAAGGAGCTCCCCACTTCCTTCACAGTCCCTCCCTCAGCCATCTGGTAAACCAGAAAAGAGTGGGATGACTCAAACCCCTAAGTCCTCTCTGATGGGCAATCCCCTTACCTGGCCATCTGTCTTCTACAGGACAGTGAGCTGGTGATGGAAATAGGATGATAATGACAGAGCAGTGAAACAGAATGGTTTGAGTCTCCGGGACCTACCGGTCCCTAGAACTCACCCAGGAGAGGGGACATGAGTGTAGGGCCAGTCCTGGAAGCTCAGCAGGGGGTCTGGAGCTTGGCTTGACCGAAACCCCAGCTTCCCGCCACCCCACTCTGCATATCCCGCCCCCTCTGGGAAGGGAAATGACATTTCCCCATTTCAGCAAGGGGTGGTGAGGAGAGAAGACTGAGCGCAAAGCCGAAAGTACAAGCAGGACGGAAAGTGAAACCGGCGCAGCCCCCAGTATAAGACCCCTGCCCGGGAGATGGCTGGCCACACAGGCTGGGCCCCGCTATGGGCCAGATGGCAGGCGACCTTGGCTGGCGTGAGTCTGAGGCCAGGGCTGGGGGTGGAGGGTGGGCAAGCCTGGCTGACACTGGGCAGGGGGTGGGAGGTCTTGATGGGTGTGGATGGGGGCAGCTACTTGGCCAAGACTAAGAATACAGGATACGGTCGACCGGAGAATGGGAATGAGTCTGGCATGAATGCGGGGTGGAGCAGAGACAGAGGGGTGATCGGTTGGCCAGGGCTAGCCAGAGGACAGGATGAGAAAGAGGTGGGCAGGCAGTTGGACCAGGACCAGGACCAAGCATGTAAATGAAGAGTTTGGTTTGAGTGAATGAGCAGGGACAAGACAGTCTGGCTGACAACTGGGGATAATAGAGAAAGAACAGCAGGAGGAGTTGGCTGGAGTGTGGGGCTGAGGCCAAGGAGTCAGAAGCCTAAGTGGGTCAAGGGTCTGTAGCTTGGAAGGAGATCTGATCCTCTGTGGGTGACTCAAGGAGTCAGAGCCTGGAACCAGAACCACAGGAAGAGGAGCAGATAGTAGGGCCATGGTAAGGACCAAGGGCTAGAGGATGGGAATAGAGCCAAGGCCAAGGACCCAGGACTGGGTACAGAGGGTAGGGAGAAGCCATGGGAAAGGTCTGGAGCTCCAGAGCTCAGACAGGATGCAGAGGGTCAGTAGGAAATGGCACAGCTCAGTGCTGGGTGGGCAATAGCCACCAGAGCCTGGGGGCACGCACTTTCCCTCAAAATAGAGCTAAGAGGAACCCCACGCCATCAGAAGTCTCTGGGATAACAGAGGGGTCCCTAAGCCAGGGGATCCTGAACATGGGGGTCTCAGGCACTGCCCCCCACCTCTGGAAGTACATTGGTGAATGGAAGCACTCAGAAACTCCCCTTGGTCTTTATATATAGGACAATTCAGGGAGCAGAGCCCAGGGGTTAGGGATCAAGATCGGACAGGGGAGAGGCATGGAGAGGAGGGTGAGCAGGAACAGACTTAGACTTACAGCCTAGTTTTGGTTTGTGTTTCGAGAATTGTGTAACTCCAGTGATTGCTAGATTTCCTCTCCCTGATGGAGAAACCGCCAAACACTGCCTTCTTCCCATGGCTCCCACCCTAGGGCCCCCCCCACCACTCTTCTTTCCAGGAAACATAGAGCAGGAAGTACTTTCAGAAATCAGCTGGTCTCACTCCCCCATTTTATAGATGGGAACCTGAGACATAGAGATAGATGACTTACTCAAGGGAAGAACCTGGATGAGAAATAGAGGTTCTGCCTCCCATTCTGGGCTCTCCTCCTTTTCCTGGCACCCCCTGTTCTTCCAACACTGCAGAGTGACCCACCTACCTTGGTGGTGGCTGGACTAAGCCATCCTTCTGACTCCCTGGGATGGAGCCTCCAGCACTGCCCGCCCACCCCTGGGGCTCTAGTTCAGGCCATCAGAGCTGCCTGGCTAAGCTCAAGGAATCCTCTGGCAGAACACAGCATGCCCATTGCAGGGGAGGTGGCTGCCTCCTCTGAGTTCCCTGGGGGAAGCACCCAGGCTCTGCGTTTGGGCAGATCTGGAATCCAGTCCTGGTTCCCTCACCCTCTAGCTATTTGAACTTGGGCTGGTCAACTTCACTGAGCCTCATTTTCCTCATCTGCAAAATATAATAATATGATAGCCCCAGGGTACCACATACAGTTGAGCAAGTTGTTCACTGAGAAAGACATTTAGCCAAGGGAGTTAGTGGGGATCAAGATCCAGCCTGACATCTGCTTGCAAAGGTGGGTACTCTGTGCAAGGTTGTGTCTGTCTTGGACAAGGGGTAACTTCTTTCCATACACACAGAGATGCCATATGGTATCCTCAAAAGCTTCCATCTTATTGATGGCTGTGTGGGGTCAGCGAGATGGTGCACAGGGCTTGCCTAGAGCCCAGGCTAGAAAGGGCACATGAGTTCTTCTCAAGCTTTGCCCTCATCAGGCCCACCATCTCCCCCTCTCTCCAGGGCTCGGCCTTTTGCTGCTCTCCTTGCTCCTGGCTCGAGCTGGTGTCTGGGGATTCCCGAGACCGCCAGGGAGGTCCCCCCTGAGCCTGCAGGAGTTGCGGAAGGAGTTCAAGGTCAGCCTGCAGCTCGCCAGGAAGCTGCTCTCCGAGGTTCGGACCCAGGCCCACCGCTTTGTGAGTCTCCCTAATGCAACCGATTTCGAGGGTGGGCAAATCCCCACTCCCTCTGGCCCTCACTAACAGACCTTGCCCCACAGGCCGAATCCCACCTGCCAGGAGTGAGCCTGGACCTCCTGCCCCTGGGGGATCAGCTCCCCAATGTCTCCCTGACCTTCCAGGCCTGGCACAGTCTCTCTGTGAGTTGGTGGATGGTGGATTGGGGCAGGAGAGCTGGCAGTAAGGCTGGGCCGGATGGATGGAGATGGAAGTTGGGGATCGAACAGAAAATGGATTTGGGGAGGAATCAGATCTGGATGAGGCTGAGTATGTCATTGGATATAAAGATTCGGCTGGAATAAAGGAGTGGTGTGAGAATGAGGTTGTACATACAGAGGAGAGATAGGTTTGGGACGAGGAGTGGGGCTAGGGTTGGAAGGAGGCTAGAGACAAGATAAAAACACAATTGAGGGGATGGATGGGGAAAGGGGATGGCAAAGAAGGGGTCAGAGTGGGGCTGCGGACAGAGAGTGACAGGATGGTGATGAGGTTGGGTTTGATCCTCAGCCTTTGAGGCTTGTCTGACCCCTTCCCTTCCTTCCCACAGGACCCAGACCGGCTCTGCTTCCTCTCCAAGATGCTTCACCCCTTCCATGTCCTCTTGGGAGGCCTGGGGAGCCAGGGGGGCTGGACCAGCTCTGAGAAGATGCAGCTGTGGACCATGAGGCTGGATCTCCGGGATCTGCAGCGACATCTACACTTCCAGGTAGCATGTTCCCCCCCTACCACCCTGCCTCCTCAACACCCAGAGACCAACACAAAAAAATTGAAGGTCTTTGCCTCCCTTTTAAAAACACAGGTTTGCGTAAGTGTGGAGGGAGATGCTCTAGACCCTCTTTTGGGCGGGGGGCTTGCTCTGTCCCCTGAATCTCTGCCCTCTCTTGGGGTCTTGGTCTGAACAGCCCTGAAGCTCCCAGAACGGCTGTTGGCATCAGCAGGCTGTGCAACCAACCTGGCTCCCTTCTCCCTCAGCCACTCACATCACCAGGCCTTCCTGAACATTCCCAAGGGAAACTGGCATTTTCCTCTTAACAAAAGGAAAATAGGGTCTCCTGGGTGGCTCAGTTGGTGAAGCATCTGCCTTCGGCTCAGGTCGTGGTCCCAGGATCCTGTGATTGAGCCCCGCATCAGGTTGTCTGCTCAGCGGGGAGCCCACTGCTCCCCCTGCTTGTGCTCTCTCTCTCCCTCTGAGAAATAAATAAAATCTTAAAAAAAAAAAAAGGAAAATAGAAAATGCAAGCAGCCTAAAAGCTAGCTATCCCACCTCTCTGCCCATTTCCAATCCTAAGATGACCCTTAAGAGAAGAACTTCTGGAATCCCAAGTGCCCAGGGCAATCCCGGATGAATGTAGCATCTCCATGAGCAGCAGCAGCAACTTGCTCTATGACTTCAATTTTCTTTTTTTTTTAAAGATTTTATTTATTTATTTGACAGACAGAGATCACAAGTAGGCAGAGAGGCAGGCAGAGAGAGAGGAGGAAGCAGGCTCCCCACTGAGCAGAGAGCCTGATGCAGGGCTCGATCCCAGGACCCTGGGATCATGACCTGAGCCAAAGGCAGAGCTTTAACCCACTGAGCCACCAGGCGCCCCTGACTTCCATTTTCTTGAACCAAAAAAATCAGGCAGGACGCGGGAGATGGTGACATAATGGCAGCTCTAAAGGAGGGGCTGTCCGGGGATATCATGCCCCTTGTGGTCTCTGATATCATTCTGTACCAGCGGGCACATAAAGAACAGGGATGCGCTCCGGGGTGCAGCTGGGCTGTTGTCTGACCGGTGGGCATCTCCCCGCAGATGCTGGCAGCAGGACTCAAGCTCCCCGAGGAGGAGGAGAGTGAGGAGCAGAAGGGGCGGCTCGAACGGGCTCCGGGGAGTCCCTCACAGGTGTCAGCGCAGCCGTCATGGGCCCAACTCCTCTACACTTACCAGCTGCTGCACTCCTTGGAGCTTGTCTTGGCTCGGGCCGTGAGGGACTTGGTCTTGCTCTCCCATGCCGGACACACAGCCCCAGCCTTGGGATGCTCGGCGTCCGACTCCCGGCCCTGATGGGGTGACTTCTCAGCCCCTTCCCTTCAACCTTCAGGACCTGAGGACTGGAGTCCGGGCAACGGGACAGCTTCCGGCTCATGGGCCTTAAACGAGGCAGGACTCCACCGGCTTCCCGCCCCAACCCCTCCCCAATAACTTAAGGCCCCTCCGGTCCCTAGCAGATATTTATTTCTTGGATATTTATTTATTGTTTAGGGAAATGATGGTTTATTTATTGTTTCAGAGCCTGCTTGCTGTCCTTGGGTCAGGCCACCATGCGGGGTGCCCAATAAAGCACTCTCATCCTCCCTTGGCCTCTTCTTTTCAAAGAAGGGGTACCTGACCCCTGAAGGACAGGAGTCAGTAGCCTCTGGCCACCCTGGGCCTCTTTCTGCTCCTAAATTCTGGGGGCTCCTTCCCCTATTCTGGCTTGCTGGGCTGGTGGTTTCCATGGTAACTAGCAGAGTTGCGAGATTTTTGAAAGCTCAAGGTCTCTGGTGCCCCTCTGTTTCCCGTTGCAAATGGAGCTCATAGGCGCCACTGACCTCCTTCTTCTGGGCCAGTTCCCACCCCCAGGGTTGGCGTGACTGTTCCACAGCTCCCCCGAAGGCCCCCGGTGGGGACTGGGAGCAATCAGGGAGGGAAGGCTGCGGGGAGAGTTGTCCCGTCCCCTCCGTCCTCCAGACAGCCAAGACAGATGGGAGAGGTGCTCGGCACCTGCCATGAGAGGTGGTCCTGGCGGGCCAGGAAGTCCGTGGGCTGCATCACCGAGTCACGCTCCTCAAGTTCATGGTTCTCATAGGCGTCTGGTTCTGTCTGCTCCATGAATAACACACTGAAAAACTGAGGCCCAGAGGCAGAAAGGCCATGTCCAGAGTGTCAGATGGAGAGAGGTGACGCAGGGTTTGGCAGTCCTTCTGACCCTCACTCAGGGCCAGGCTCCTGGGGGGCTCAGGGGCCCCTCACTGCGGCTTTGGCTGGCCCAGGCGGGCTTGCAATTCCTGCATCATACCCATGTGTGCAAGGCCAAACCTGCAGATGGGAGACAGGTGATGGGAGCTGGCCTCCAGGTGGCCACAGCCTCCTCCGCACCCCAGCCCAGCCACCTCACCCCCTGGGCTTACCCACGTCCCAGGGGCCTTCTTCTGGCTGGCAGTGGGGTCCCTTCGGGTTTTGGGGGTCTGGGTTCTGGGGGCTCCTCTGCTTGGAGAAGTCTCTGCTCTGGGGCCGACAGCTGTTCCTCTGGTGGGGGGCTGGGAGGCACCTCTTGCCGCTCAGGCGCACGGGTCCGTCGGAAAGAGGGCCGGGAGCGGCGCAGTGAGGAGTTGCGAGACAGGAGGACCCGGCTCCGGGGGGCAGAGACGTCCAGGAGAGCCCCAGGGAGCAGGGCCTGTGGGGAAAGGGGCACAGGGTACCACGGGGCCAGATTCGAGATTCTGCTCTATCCAGCCCCGGACCCCAGCTGGAGCTCTCACCTCACTCCAGAGGCCGCAAGCACCCCCTCCAGCACTTTCTGCCGTCTCCCCCATCTCCCTGTGGGGCCCAAGCTCGGTCTCTGCAGGCTCCTGGCTTGTTGACTGGTCCTCCTGGCCCTGGACGTCCTCCAGGCCTCCTGGAACAATATCCTCGGCCTCTGCTCTCCGGTCTTCAGTCTCCTCAGCATCCTCCACATCAAGAGGTCTTCCTGCCTCTTCCTCGGGTCGGTGGTCCCCACATCCCCCCTCACTGTCTTGCCCCTGCTCCTTCATTTGCCATCCCACAGCCTCTTCTTTCAACAGCGTCTGTCCTCCCAGGAGCCCCTCGGCTTCCCTTGTGGCCACGGTCCCCTCTGCCCTCACCACCTGGGAGCCCGAGGTAAAGCCATCCATCCCACAGCTTCCTTCCTCCACTGCAGGCTCCCTGACCTCCACCCATTCTCCCCTGGGTTCGCCCTCTCTGGCCTCCAAAGCCTCTGCCTGGGCCCCTCTGCCAGCCGCCTTCTCGTCTGCTGAGCCCTCTGAGCCAAATCCCAGCCAGCCTCGGTTTTCTCCCTGTGTAACCTCCATCAGCTCCACGCCTCCCCGAACCTCCTGCCTCCCTTCTGAGCCCCAGGCTTCCCCAGCCTCTCTTGCGGGCCCTCCCTCCACCCCAGCTGCCCTTCCGTCCAGAGCTACATCATCCCTTGCTATCTCAGCTGCCAAAGAACTGGCCCCTGGGTCCTCGCTGTCCTGGAGGCTCAGAGTGGCCTCCTCTAGCCTCCCATCTCCGCTGGGTGTTGGGTCTGCCCCCCAGGGCACCGCGGCCTCCACCTCCTCATCCTTGGTTTCTCCGCCATCTGACTCTCCCAGGGACTGACCTGTCCCTGCGTCTGCCCCATGTCTTCCACCCAGCTCCTGGCTCTCTGCTCCAAGGGTCTCTCCCTCCTCTGCTCCTATTTCTTGGGTTTTCTTCCACTCCCCGCCTGCCTCTGGGACATCTGGGAACGTAGACTCTCGGCCTCCCTCGGACTCCTCCGGTGCCTGGCCTCCTGCAACCTCCCCCTCTTCTGCATCTGCTTTTTCCTCCCCGGTATCCCCTCTTTCTACATCCCTTCTCTGGTTCTCCCAGGCCTCTGCCCCAACCAGGCCTCCCATGTTGCTGGGATATTCCTCCGGGCTCCCTCCCGTCTCCTCTTTGCTCAGGGCCGAAGCGCCCCAGAGCTCTTCCTCAGGCTGCTCCACCAGGGTCTGGGAGCCTGCCACCAGCTCAGGTTCCCGGCCTTCCATGACTTCATGCTCAAGGTCACCCCACCCCGCCCCACTACACCCCTGTGCTTCTCCACCTGTCTGAGCCTCCCCATCACTCCTCTCCTGGCTAGACTCCTTCTCAGGACTGCTGGCCTCTGGGGTCACTTCGAAGTCAGCATCCTCTTCAGGCTCATTTGCCAAGTTGTCCTTGGGCAACTCAGCCTCTGAGACCCGGCAACCCTCTTCCTCCTCTTTGGCCTTTTCTGCCGCCACCTCCTCCTCCAGACGGGCTGGAACAGTCCTGATCACTGAGGTTTGCTTCCCCTCAGCCTCTTTCCCTCCCTGATCTTCCTGGACCTCAAAGCCCTCCCTTACCTCCCCCTCTGACCCCTGGCCTTCTTCAGCCTCCACCCCTGCTCTCTGCTCCTTAGCTGGTTCTTCTACACTCTCAGTTCCCAGGACACGGGTCTGTTTGGGGGGAAAGCTCATCTCAGCCTCTCTATTCTCATCCACCTCCTCCTCCTGCTCTCCCCTGGAGGCCTCCTCGAATGCCCAGGTCTTCCCAGTACCCTCTGAGGTCTTTTCTCCTGAGACTTCCCCATATTCTGTTGTCCTGGCTTCTGAGAGGTCACCCTCTTTTCCAACTGAGGTTGTCCTGGCCTCTACCCTGCCTAAAGTTATCCCAGCCTCCTCGCTGCCTGAGGCTGTTCTATTCTCCTCCTCCCTACCCGAGGCTGTCCCATCCTCCTCCCTGCCTGTGGTTGTCTTGGCTTCCTCCCTTTCTAAGGCTGTGCTGTCCTCCTCCCTGCCTGAGGCTGTCCCATCCTCCTCCCTGCCTGAGGCTGTCCCATCCTCCTCCCTGCCTATGGTTGTCCTGGCTTCCTCCCTTTCTAAGGCTATGCTGTCCTCCTCCCTGCCTGAGGCTGTCCCATCCTCCTCTCTGCCTGAGGTTGTCCAGTCCTCCTCCCTTTCTAAGACTGTGCTGTCCTCCTCCCTGCCTGAAGCTGTTCTGTCCTCCCCACTGTCTGAGGCTGGGCCATCCTCTTCCCTGCTTGAGGCTGTCCCGTCCTCCTCCCTGCCTGTGGCTGTCCCAGCTTCCTCCCTGCCTGAGGTTGTCCCATCCTCCTCCCTGCCCGAGGCTGTCCCGTCCTCCTCCCTGCCTGAGGCTGTCCCGTCCTCCTCCCTGCCTGAGGCTGTCCAGTCTTCCTCCCTGCCTGAGGTTGTCCTGTCCTCCTCCCTTTCTAAGGCTGTGCTGTCCTCCTCCCTGCCTGAAGCTGTTCTGTCCTCCCCACTGTCTGAGGCTGGGCCATCCTCCTCCCTGCCTGAGGCTGGGCCATCCTCCTCCCTGCTTGAGGCTGCCCCGTCCTCCTCCCTGCCTGAGGCTGTCCAGTCTTCCTTCCTGCATGAGGTTGTCCCATCCTCCTCCCTGCCTGAAACTGTCCTGTCTTCCCCACTGTCTGAGGCTGGGCCATCCTCCTCCCTGCCTGAGAATGTCCCGTCCTCCACCCTGCCTGAGGCTGTCCCATCCTCCTCCCTGCCTGAGGCTGTCCCATCCTCCTCCCTGCCTGAGGCTGTCCCGTCCTCCTCCCTGCCTGAGGCTGTCCAGTCCTCCTCCCTGCCTGAGGCTGTCCCATCCTCCTCCCTGCTTGAGGTTTTCCCATCCTCCTCCCTGCCTGAGGCTGTCCAGTCCTCCTCCCTGACTGAGGTTGTCCTGTCCTCACATTCTGTCCCCGACTCCTGTGCTTCCTGTGCCCTTGGGCCTTCACTACCCCTTAGGACCACCATCAGCTCTTCTTCCTGCCCGGCCTGTTTGGCTGCAGACCCGTGGATCTCCTCGGCAATTGCCTCCTTGACCGGTTCTAGTGACTCCCTGCTGTCCCCTGCTACCTTTTGCCCATCGGCACCTACCACCCCCTCAGGCTCCCTGTGCCAGGTCCACTCTGACTCCGCCTTTCTGGCTACCTCTGGTTTTCTTTCCCTGACCTCTTCCGCCTCCTCCTCCTGTTCCCGGGTTCTTAGTGTCTCCTCTCTCTTCACTTCCTGCTCACTGGGCCCTTGACTCTCCTGGGCTTCGCTGCTGTTGTCTCGACCAGCCTCAGACCCTGCCTCGGACTCCTTTCTGGCCTCTAAGTGGGCCCTTGGCTCCTGGCACCTGGCGGCCTTGGCTGCCTCCTGGACCCCGGCGGCCTTGGCTGCCTCCTGGACCCCAGTGTCTTGCCTCTCTGCCTGAGACCTGTGGGAGCTGCCTTCTTCGCAAGCCCAGGTCTGTTCTGTAGCTGAACTTCCCTCCTGGCATATTCCAGCTTCTCTGGGCCCTCTCAGCCCTCCATCCTCCTGGCTTTGGCTGCCTCCAAGGCCCTCCAGGGCCTCCTGGGCTTCCTTCTTTTCAGGTTTCCCTTGCCTTCCCGCAGCCACCTCCCCCAGTTCCTCGGCTGCCCTCTCCTCCTTCCTGTCTGCAGTAGGGACTTCATCTCCCATAAGGTAGGAGACAAAGGAGCTGAGGGAATCCTAGAAGGGAAGGGGGAGGGGACAAAGGCATTAAGGGGAGGCCCAGCCCTCTCCCTTGGGACCCTGGCCCAGAGGAACTCAGGCCACAGAAGAGGGGGTCTGGGCTCTAGGAGGGGAAAGAGAACTGGATTTGCAGAAGGAAGAGGAAAGGGGCTAGATTTGGGGTAGGTGGATGTGACCATGGAGGTGGGGCGGATTGAAATCCAGAAACGATCAGGCTAGGAGGCTACCTGATCCTGGGAAAGGGATCATGAGTATGAGGAGAGTCTCAAAGAGAGGAGGGAAGGTGAGGCCCCAGGGAGCAGGGTGAAACTCTCTGACATCTCTTTGCCCCTCTCACCAGCGCTCCCCGCAAGGCCTGATGCAGCCCAGGGAGATGTAGCCGGAGGAAATCCATCCTGTCTGTCTCCGTCTGTGTGTCCAGAAAGCTGACAAATGACCGCCCCCACCTACTGAGACAAGGCAGTCTTCCCCAGGGCCCAAGACACTTCCTCTTCCCCTGTGTCTCCCTGACGCACCCCCTATCCAGGCCCTGCCCACCCTCTGCGATGCCCACAGCAGCTCCCAGCCTGGGCTGGGCAATGGGTGTGCATCGCACAGGGGACTCAGGTGCATATTTGGAGCTGAAGAGCAAGGGGGGAGGCCATAAAGAAAAACCTGGGAGCAGCAGACCTCAGAATTGGGGAGGGGGGAGGAGAGAGGGGGCGTGTGGCAAGAGCAGCTCAAGTGACTCAGGTCTTGTATTCACACCTCAGCCATTTCCTGCTCCCCCCAAGCCACAGCCACTCTGTGAGAGGAAGCTGGGGTTTGTGGTTCCTGTTTTGCCTAGGGACAATGAGTGGGAGTGAAGAGGGGCTGGTAAGAGCTTTGGCTTCTCATTTTAGGGTCATTAATGCTTCCTTAAGGGGAAGAAGGGGCTGGATTGGTGGCTCCAGTGCCCATTCCCTCATGTGCAGTCATTCTTGTGAAACAAAACTTGGCTAAGCTTTGTATTGTGGTTATTTGTGTCTACCTTCCACCCTCCTGTGAGTTCCTTAAAGGCAGAGGCCATGTATGACATGTTGCGGAGTTTGTAGGGTCCCGCATGGGTAGTAGGACCCCATTTTTCACTGGTTGAGTAATCTGGGAAGCAGACCAAAGGGGGCACATTTCAAACAGCAGTCTGAGGACTTGGTGGTGAGAAAGAGCTGGTAGAGGTGAGCACCAGCTGGTGGAAGCCCATAGAAGAGATTAGCAGGGGAAGGACTCAATGAAGAAGATTCAGGATGCTGCTTTACCACCTAGAGGAAGGTAAGAGAATAATCACTTCTTATTTTGAACTATATGAAGCGACTTTGATCTATACCTCTTCCCGCAATCCCCTGCCTGATCCCCACTTTCCAAATTTCCAATTAGACAAACCAGATGAGATCACAGAATCAGAATCTTGGGCCTTAGAATCCTCTGGTTTAAGCATTCTTGATGCAGGCAGGAATTCCACCGCAGCCTGCTGAGCCAAACATGTCTGCCTCTGGTATTCTATTTCCTATTGTTAAAAAGAGTCTGTACCATCAGCTTTAGGTCTAACCTTGTATCATTACCAGCAACTTTCCTTTTTTTGTTTTCTCATGTGTAAAACCAGGGGGTCGATATTTCTGTGATATTCTTTGGTTCTGGGATAATTTGGGGAAAGGGATCTCTTTAATGTTTTGGATATTGCCAATAGACAGAAATTCTCCTGAGAGTTATCTTGATTTTCAGTTCTTGAAGCAGTCTAAGGGCAACAGAGAGGAATAAGAATCCCCTGAAGCTGGCTGTCTTTATTCTCCGCCAGAAACCGGGACTAGAGGAGCCCGGTGGCCATATTTATTTCTGGCAATTGAGGGCCGGGAAAGGAGCTGAAGCAGCTCACTGCCATGACTAGTACTGGCAAGGAAGGCCAAGACATTGCACCCCGCTAGTCTAACGTCATGGCTCTTCTTGCCGATCCTACCCGCTCCAGTTTTAAACCAGCGGTTCCAGGGTTCTCCGAGACTCTCTCTGGCCCCCGCCCCGAGGCCGGGAAAGCCTGAAGCCGAGAGGGAGAAAGGACCCGGAAGTTGGGGGTGACCTCCAAGCACGTGATGAGGGGGCCCGCGGGCGCTGTCACGTGACGCGCCTACCTGCTGTGCCTCGGAGCCGAACTTGCTGCTGCTCTTAAAGGTACAGACCGCGGAGGCCCCTGCTTTAAAGGGGGCGGGGGCAGAGTCTCATGGGTGGGGCAATAGTGGGTGTGCGAGGGCGCGAGATGTACCCCCGGGGTAACGTGGTGGGTCGCCCCACGCTAGTGCAGCGGAGAAGCCGGAGCTGGGACCTGCAGTGGGGCGTTGATCCTTCTCATCTGTCGCAGACCCTCACCCGCCTGGTTGGAGCCAATCCTGGACTCTCGCTGACTTTGAACCCTTCGCGGGACCTGAACTTGATGCCATGGGAGGCTGTGCGGGCTCGCGGAGGCGCCTTTTGGATTCCGAGGGTGCGTATTCCCTCCCACCCTCCTGAGAGTGACAGCCTCTGCCCCGCGACCCACCTGACTTGGGGCTCGGGCGCCGGCTCGGCCCCTGGGAGGACACCTGTGGGGCCTTCGTGCACCTGCGAGTGGGTTGGGGGTCATGCTCTCTTCTTCTCGCCCTCCCAGGGGAGGAGACCGCCCCGGAACCTCGGTCCCCTCTGTTGGACCGTCAGGGCGCCCTTTGGAGGAACGTGATGGGTTTCTGGTGAGTGGCCCGAGGAGTTCAGCAGAAGTAAAAATGGGGTGGGAAGAGTTGGGAAGCAACAGGAGGAAAAAGGGAAGAAAGAGCTGAGCTGTGAAAAAGGAGCTGAATTCACAAATATTTACTGAAGCCATTGGTTTGCCCTAAGGCAGCGCTTAAACTTCAAGACTTGACTCAATTTACTTCCCACCTTCAGGCTTGGACCTGGTCCTCCTATCAGCTGTAGGACTACTTACTTCATGTTTTCACTCCAAGGAATTCAGACTTTAAATTTGTAAATACGTGTATTTTTTAGAAGAAAACTTTAAATCACTACTCTGGGCAGGAAGCCAGTGTTTTTCCTAATGCACGTTTTAATAAACACATCTACACTTTTTAAAATGCCATCCATCTACCTCCTGAAATCATTCCAGTTTTGAGCCTTGGGAAATCCTTCTAGCGCTAACCTGAACCTTGAGGGCTTAGGTGGTGCACTGGGTTGGACGTGACTTCACATGTGATTCTGAAAGAGTCCCATCACCTCTCTGAGCCTCTCTACTTGACAGCAGCAAAATGGGAAGAAAGGCAGAACCACTTAGTGGGCATGTGAAAAGAGCCCATGAAATCTCTGGCACTGGGCCCAGTTCCTTTCCCATCACTGAGTGCAGCTCTGGGAAATGAGAGTAAGCAAGAAAAGATCCTTCATGGGTCATAAAGGGCTTTGGTAGGATCATCTTTTAATCCCCACAGCAACCTGTGAGATAGTGAGAAGGAAAACCTGTGTCCCCATTTACACATGGGTAGCCCAAGGCCACTCAGGTAGGAAGCAGCATGTGTGGAACCCGAACACAGTCCTTTGGGCTTCAAGCCCCAGGATCTTTCTACTGTTCCACAACACATCAGAGAGCATGGATCAGTGCGTGAGAAACCCCCCAGGAACTGAACCATGATGGGAGCTTGGAGGGAGAGTCATCAAGGTTGACTCTTCTCTTCCTGGGAGAGATGAGATGTGAACCCAAGTCTGTCATCCCAAAGTCTGTATTTCTAGCCCTAACACCGAAATGGAAATGGGGCCTGGTGAGAGAGAAGAACAGGCAAGCTGATGGAAGGCCACAGGAAGGGGTGATTTGGTGCTAGGACTGTGAGTAGATTGTTAAGCCTGGAAGGAGGTTAAGATCTGTTCTTATATGTCAGTTATATCTCAATAAAACTGATGGGGGAAAAAAAAAGTCTATCCTGCTCACTCCAGGCTCCTGGGCCTTTGTAACAACTTCTCTTACGTGGTGATGCTCAGCGCTGCGCATGACATCCTTAGCCATCAGAGGGCATCTGGGAACCAGAGCCATGTAAGTGACCGTCTCTAATGCCACCACCATATTTAGTCCTTATGGGAAGATGGGGGACTCCCCCTAGAGCAGGAACCCCCTTTGAAAAACTAATGGAATGGGGGTGGCCCAGAGGTGGGGCAAGGGGACTGAAGTTCCAGCTTCCCAGACCACAGAGCAAGGAAGGGTTTTTAAGCATCGATTGGTGCCACGTATATAAACTCAGAGGTTGGCTGGGTGGGGCCATGGTCTATGAAAGCGCTTCTTAACCGCAGCGCTGTTAATTTTAGGCTGGAGAATTCTTTGTTGTGGGGCTTTCCTGGACATCGTACAGTGCTTAACAGCACCCCTGTCCTCTACCAGTAACATACCTCCTGTTCAGTAGTTGAGAGAAGAATGTCTCCAGGCATTACCAGATGTTCCCTCGGGGGTATAATCACCTCCAGTTAAGAACCTCTCGTCTATGATGAGCTGGAGGCAGGGGTGGGGGGTGGGGGGTGGGGGGGTGTAAGTGCCAAAGGAGTACAGCCACCCCCTTGCAAGTCCAAGTCCAACAGGAATTTGGTCCAAGATCAGCTTTTCTGGAAAGCCATTTTCCCCCTTGACTTCATAAAATTATTTAAAACGTTGGCATTTACATACTAGCGTGTCTGCCTAAAATAGTTACTTGAAATCCTCAAGTCAGGGGGTGCTCAGGTGGTCCACACGTGAGCCCAGCAGGGAAACAAATGAGACCAGGCTTGGAGCCCCAGGGCTTTGAAAAACGGGACGTCCTCCTAGGGGCCTAAGGGGAGTAGGGTGAAGAGGAAAGGGTCACTACGGGGGTGTGGTTTAAGCCCACCCTCGTGGATCTCTTAAGTGAATCTCTTTTCTCATTCTCAGGAGAGAGGGTTGCATTTCCAGACTGGGCATAGAGAGGCCCACTCCCTGAAACTGATGTGGCAACCACACCCAGGCCTCCATTGGAAGAGGTCCTTATAAATATATTTAGATCAGAGGAAATAAGGTGCTTAGGGAGGATATGGCTCACTCTCCTACCTGTGCCTTGTTCTAGAACGACAGTAAAATTTGGAAGCCTCAATTTTTAAAAAACGAAAGCTCCCGAGTGTGTTACCCAACTGGAGCCCATGTACGGGGCCATCTTAGGCCTTTGGGTCCTTAGTTTGAGCTTTGTGTGTTAAGCTTTCCCGCCCCCATTGTGCACATAGAGAAACTGAGGTCCCAAGAGGCCAGTGTTGACCCAAGGCCATCCCTCAAGTCAGGGCTGAGCTGGCACTGGAGCCAGGCCCTTTTTGTGTCACCTCTTGCCTCCCGGGTGAAAGACCTTCCTCTGTTGCCAGGTGAACCCGGACCCACCCCTCACCCCCCACAATAGCTCCTCTCGATTTGACTGCAACTCCATCTCCACTGCTGTGAGTACCCATCTGGTCCTCCCTGACCCCCGCCCCCTCCCTCAGCACCCAGCTGTGGCTGTCATGATTATTATAATAAAGACATTTCCTGAGCCTTTTCTGTGTGTGGCGTCCATCAGCTCATGTAATCCCCCAGCGGTCCTTAAGCGCTATACCCAGCCTCCATTTTTCAGACGAGGGAACTGAGGCTCTTGACACAAAGCTAAGGAGCCGCAGAGCTGGGACTTGAACCCAGACCTATCTGACCTCAGAGCCTGTGTCTGTAGCAGGTGTCTGTCTTCCCTTGGTCACTTGGTTGGGAAGCTTGTCCCTAGGACCATTGGGGGTCTCATTCCGTTCTTCTGTTCCAGGCAGTGCTCCTGGCAGATATCCTCCCCACCCTCGTCATCAAATTGCTGGCGCCCCTTGGTCTGCACCTGCTGCCCTACAGGTCTGAGAGGGGGTGGCCGGCAAAAGGGCAGGCAGGACCCGAAGAGCGGGGCGGCCGTGAGGGCCCAGGAAGTGGCGGGAGGGTTAGGGCGTTGCAGGCAGAGGCTGACCTCCCTCTTCCCTCCCTACCTCTCGCCCTCAGCCCCCGGGTTCTCGTCAGTGGGATTTGTGCTGCCGGAAGCTTCCTCCTGGTTGCCTTTTCTCATTCAGTGGGGACCAGCCTGTGCGGTGAGTGTGAGGTTTTGTGTCAGGTGGGGAACCCAGAGGAGCCGAAACAGCATTGTGGGGTAGTCTCCCCAACTTCTGAGAGGAAAGGGATTGTTTTTGTAACCCTCAGAAGCCGGCTGGGACTGTCATGAGGAGGAGATGGGAGACGAGGTCATTTTGGAGGGGGGGTGGTTGGGGTCAGGGGTGGGGGGGGCAGAGATAGGAGGAAATGGGTGGAGTACACGGAGCTCGAGATGAGCAGAGTCACCAGGACTCCATGACGGGGGGAGGGTTGGGGGCAGCTGAGGCGTCTAGGATGAGTTCTTGCTACGGTGTCGGTAACTGGGTAGATAGGGGGTCCCATTCCCTGTGAGAGGCATGTGGGGGGGCGGGTAAGTTCTTCAGATCTGAAGCCCCCCTGTCCAGGGGATCTGAGCTGATGCAGAGGAGGTCGTGGCCAGACCCCTCAGGGGATTGGGGGTATGGCGGAGGCCAGGTGTGGCCATTGCCATGCTTGTCCTCCCCCCCAGGTGTGGTCTTGGCTAGCATCTCGTCCGGCCTGGGGGAGGTCACCTTCCTCTCGCTCACTGCCTTCTACCCCAGGTAAGCAGGAGGAGCCGGGAGTGGGGGAGAGGACCCCCTGGTGCAGGCTGGGTCCTTCCTCATCTCTCGTTTTCTTCTCAGGGCTGTGATCTCCTGGTGGTCCTCAGGCACTGGGGGAGCAGGGCTGCTGGGAGCACTGTCCTATCTGGGCCTCACCCAGGCGGGCCTCTCCCCGCAGCACACCCTGCTGTCCATGCTGGGTGTCCCTGCTTTGCTGCTGGCCAGGTAGGCTGCCTGGGCTGGGCGGATGAGGGAGCCAAGGGGAGAACTAGATCAGGCTCCCAATCTCCAGATCCCAGCAGCCTCATAAAGAGGGCATGTGGGTTCCGGACTGGGAGAGGACTGGTTTGAGTTCTGGAGCTGCTGCGTGTTGGCTGTATAGCGTGGGATAGGGTGCCTCACCTCTCCAGCCCTCCTTGCTTCCCTGTGGGGAGACGTGCACATGGCATCCAATATGGAGTGGATCCTGAGATGATTGGCTAGGGTGGGGGGGTGGACTTTCTTTTACTGATTTTGAGGCTATTGGGAAAAAATTTTAACTAGCTGGTCAAACCTGTGATTTCACCGATGATTGCTTGGGACGAGGCCGTGTAGAAATAAAGTGAATCAATTTCAAAGAAAATCATAAGCAAAAAAAAAAGTATATTGGAGGAGTCTAGACATGGCCGAGTGTAGACACGGTCTCTATTGGAAGAGACTGAAATTGGAGAAGTTTGGGCCCAGCACAGAATGAACGGGGAATGATCATTAGAATAACAATGACAAGAAAACGGAGTAGACCTGCTCCGTGTGAGCCGGCAGGCTGAATGGGTAGCGTTCAGGCCCACGGGTAGCAACAACAAGGAGACAAATTTCAGCTCTAAGGAAGGAAGCACCTTTCCGCAGTCGGAACTTTCTGGCACAGGATGGGTGTGGGGCTGACAACGAGTGAGGAAATGAGGGGGGACTCCCCTGGGAGGGAACGGCCCCTCCAGCCCGACAGAGGGCCTTCGGTCTCATCTTCCTCCCACCCGTTCTAGCTATTTCTGTTTGCTCACACCTCCTGAGCCCCAGGACCCTGGAGGGGAAGAGGAGGCAGAGACCTCCGCACGGCAGCCTCTGATAGACAGTGAGGCTCCGGAGTCAAAGCCAGGTAGGAGACCCAGGAGTCCCTCGGAGCCATCGCTCTCTTCTCGGAGGGGCATTAGCCTTTCCTCTCTGTGGTGGATGCGGTCAGGAGGGCAGGTGGACAGCAGTGCTGGTTGTGGTAAGAGCCAGTCGCATTCATCTATTAAAGAGCTACACACTGGGGCACCTGAGTGGCTCAGTCGGTTAAGTGTCTGGTCCTAGATTGCATTTCAGGCCATCCTCTCAGGTTTGTGGGATCGAGCCCTGCCTTGGGCTCCACACTGAGTGTGGAGTCTGCTTGAGATTCTCTCTCTCCCTTTGCCCCTCCCCCCATTCACGTTCTCTTTCTCTCTCTCAAAAATAAATAAATCTTAAAAAAAGAAAAACTGCTCAGTGAGTACTTACCATGTGCTGATTTTTCTTTAAGATTTTATTTATTTATTTGATAGAGAGATCACAAGTAGGCAGAAAGGCAGGCAGAGAGAGAGGGGGAAGCAGGCTCCCCACTGAGCAGAGAGCCCAATGTGGGGCTCGATCCCAGGACCCTGGGATCATGACCTGAGCCAAAGGCAGAGGCTTTAACCCACTGAGCCACCCAGGCACCCCACCATGTGCTGATTGATGAGCCCTGTAGGTACTGGGTGACTGAGATGAGGAAAGGGGGCCCATTCATAAACAAGTAGCTGAATCAGAAAGATGTTATTTTTTAAGCTTTGGTAAGTGCTGGCCGGACAGAAAGCAGGGATTGCTGCTAGGAACTTGGGCGGGGGGATAGAGAAGGGTCCCACCTAGAGGCCATGGTCTGTGAAGGCCTTTTTGAGGAGGGGTCATTGGGCTGAATTTTGAATGACAAGGAGTCAGGTCATAGGCCAGGGGAACAGCATGTGCTAAGATCCTGAGGTGGGAAGGAGCTTGACTGTTCGAGAAGCAGAAGGAAGGGGCCAATGTGTCTGGGTTGGAGATGTATGGCTATCAGACAGTACAAGAGCCATGGAGAGGTCCCACCTGTTAATCCCCCCCCCTTTTTTAAATCGTGGTAAATTTTACCAATTTAACCATTTTGGGGGGCAGAGGGAGAAAAAAAAATCTTAAGCGCAGAGCCCGATGGGGGCTTGATCTCGAGACCCTGAGATCATGATCTGAGTTGAAATCAAGAGTAGGACGCTCAAGGGACTGAACCACCCAGGTGCTCCTTAACCATTTTTGGTTGTACAGTCCAGTGGCATTTAAGTGCATTCACGCTGAGAGTGTGAATGTGGTTGGTCCTTGCCCACCAGCACCCCTCTGCCGAGTCCATGCGCCAGCCTCACCTGCCCTTCCCTCCCTCCCTGCAGACTCCAAGTCAAACCTCTCCCTTCTGGAAAGGTGGACCGTGTTCAAGGTATGGCTGGGTGGCTCTGGCGCCCCCCTGTGGCCGGTGCCCGCCTGCCGGCCTTCCACTTAAAATGTCTTCTGACTCTTCCAGGGCCTGCTGCCATACATCGTTCCCTTGGTGGTGGTTTACTTCGCGGAGTATTTCATCAATCAGGGACTGGTGAGGGAGGGCTGCTGGGGTGGGGGTGGAAGTAGCCATCGAGGCGGGGCCCCGCATGTCTCCAACCACCTGCCCTGTCCGCTCTTTGCTGCAGTTTGAGCTCCTGTTCTTCCGGAACACATCCCTGAGTCACGCTCAGCAGTATCGCTGGTAAGAAGGGTGAGAGGGTGGGTGGCGGGACGGGCGGGGGCCTGAAGGGGAGCCCTTGATGCTAGGGCCTGGGGGTGGCCGCGGCCACCCTGCTGAGGGGCTTCTTCCTCCTCCCTGCCCGCATTGAAGGTACCAGATGCTCTACCAGGCCGGTGTCTTTGTTTCCCGCTCTTCTCTCCGCTGCTGTCGCATCCGTTTCACATGGGTCCTGGCCCTGCTGCAGGTACCGAGCCCGGCCCTCCCTCCATTCCCACCTTGGCTCCCAGCTTCCCAGACCCCAGGCTTCCTTCCCACTTCTCCAGGAAGTGTGTTGCTCGCCGTCAGATTCTGAGCGCAGGGAACAGAAGGCCAGCAGGGCTCTGGCTCTGTGTAAAATGTGTGGCCTTGGTAGCCCGGCAAAACCCGGGCGCAAACCCCAGCTTCCGTTCTCTGTAGCTGTGTGACGACGGGCAGGTCCCTGAACCTGCCTGAGCCGAGATGGCCTCGTCTGTGAACCGGCTGCGGCCAACATCTACTTCTCAGGGTGGTTGTGACACCCAGAGACGGGAAGTGTTTTAATTCCCTGGAAGCACGCACTTAATCCTTATTTCCACGAGCCTTGTGCAGAGGCACAGGCTTTCAAATAATGTTTCTGTGGGTTAAAAAAAAAAAGTACTGTTCTTTTATTCTGGGTGGTTTTACAACAAAATCAACGATGTCACAGCCAACAGGTCATTTACCGCAGGGCTAGTGAGCATATTTAACTCCCTGTGGTGGAAGGAGTACAGTGTTAAGCGAACACACACCGTTCTTGCCATGGTCCAACCAAAGTAGCTTCACAGAACCAGCCTTCAAGGTCACAAGTCTATAGCCCCTGGAAGTTACTATCAAAATTAACCTTCCTTTAGTCCAGGAAAGCCCTTTTCAATAAACTGAGCCCAATTCTAGGATAAAAAGGTAGAAATCAGTATAGTTTGCCCTTGACTATTACGGCAGGACCCCATGACTGTCCTTCAGCTTTCTCCCTTCTTGATCTGAGTGGGGATGCCAGCCCAGGGCCTTGTACCTCGAAGGCCCCGAATCATGTCAACAATTCTGAACTCAGGGGTTCTTCGTTAGACGCCACTGAAATGCATAGCTTAGGATTTTCTATAGAATTAGAGACTTATAATCATTGAATTCCATTACAGAAAGCACCTGGCCACGTGCCTCAGACAGATGCATTAGCGGGGTGTCGCCAGTCCCATTAGCATTGCTGGGATGTGTTCTTTTTTTTTTTTAAGATTTTTTTTTTATCTGATGCAGAGAGAGACCACAAGTAGGCAGAGCAGCAGGCAGAGATAGAGGGGGAAGTAAGCTCCCCGCCAAGCAGAGAGCCCGACGCGGTGCTCGATCCTAGGACCCCGAGACCACGACCCGAGCCGAAGGCAGAGGCCCAACCCACTGAGCCACCCAGGCGCCCCGGGGGTGTGTGCTTTTTAAAGGCAGATCTCTGAGCTCACCTCAGGCTTAATGAATTAGAACCTTCGAGGGCAAGGCCTATGTGGGTCACGTGATTCCCAGTCCTCTGTCTGTGCGGTCAGATATGTGCGCCGCCACGGCTCAAGCCTGGGACACTGGGGTCCTGTGGAGGACTGGGGCACAGAGGGGAGACCTGCTCCCTTGGGTGGGGTCAGAGAGTCCTCCTTAAAGACACGAGAACGCCGTAGCCAGAGTTTCTCAACCTCGGCGCTGTTGATTTGGGGTTGGATCGTTCTTTGTTGTGGGGCTGTCCCGTGCACTGCAGAACTGAGCAGTATCCGTGGCCTCTACCCACTCCCTCCCCACTCACAACAGCCAAGAACATCTTTAGCCATTGCCAAGTGTCCCCTGAGTGGCAAAAATCACTCCCAGTCGAGAACTGCTCGTCGACACCCATAGTCTCAGTCTGGTAAAATGGCGGGGGAGGGGCGGGCCTCTCTTTTCAGGGAACCCTTGGGAGGAGGCATGAGAGCCCAGGAGTGGGAGCGGTCCTGCTTCAATCTGAGCCGTGAACGGTGGTAACCAGGAGATCCCAAGGAGGGAAGGAGAATAGTGTTCCAGGGACGACATGAGCCAAGGCGCGGTTGGGAGAGTGACCTGTGACGTCTAGGGTGCCAGGACAGGATCAGGAGAAGGCCTGCCCCAGATCCCAGGGTCTGGTAGGCCCGTGGGGTGCTGGGATTTGATCTGGGTCTGTCAGCCCTCTCCTCAACATCTCCCAGAACCAGGGGCCACTGGATGGGACCACAGCCTCTGGTCCCAGGCTCAGCCCTCCCCTCCTCCTGCCTCCCCAGTGCCTCAACCTGGCCTTCCTGCTGGTGGACGTGTGGTTGAGCTTCCTGCCCAGCATCTACCTTGTCTTCCTGGTCGTTCTGTATGAGGGGCTTCTCGGAGGTGCCGCCTACGTGAACACCTTCCACCAGATTGCCCTGGAGGTCAGCACGGGCTGGGTCAGGGCTACGGGGACGGCTGGGGGGGTTGCTCTCTGGGGAAGGCCTGGGCCGGGGCGGCTAGGACCAAAGCCTCACCCCTGCTTCCTGCCCTCCGCAGACGAGTGATGAGCACCGGGAATTTGCCATGGCAGCTGCCTGTATCTCTGACACTTTTGGAATCTCCCTGTCGGGGCTCCTGGCCCTGCCCCTGCACGACTTCCTTTGTAAGCTGTCTTGACACTCCGGCTTCTCAGGACATGGGACACACTAATCTGGGCCTGCACTGACAGGCGGGCGAGTCAGACCGCAGGCGCACAGCTCAGAACTCACCCATGAGCCCTGCCCCAGGTTTGCCTGAGCGGCTGGGGTGCAGAGACACGCAGAGGTCCCGTTCTCCTTTGAGCGAGCCGGCAGTGTTCACACTCTCCCAGGCTGGCCTTGGGGACTTTCTTCGTGGTGTTACATCCTCAGAATAAATGCCTATTTTATTAATTGACTCCTGTGCCATTTTTCTGCTTGGAAACAAAATGTTCTTTTGTTATATGAGTAATACAAACCCGCTTTGAAATATATGCAGGAGAGTATAAAAAAGCATTTCAGCAGATTTCTGCCCGGTCTTTGAGGCTTTACTTATTCATTCACTCATTCATTCATTTCATTCATTCACTGTATGATGCAATCTGCATATATTTTCCCCAAATGTAAGTTTGCAAACATAGAGGTTGAAAGAATTCCTAATATAAGCACAAGTGTAGGCACCCCCTGGGTTCTGTGGGGAACATTCAGCTCCCCGCAGTTACTTTATGACATGTAACACTCCATCCAAATGAGTCTCTGATTTTCATAATGTATTTCAAAGTAGGAAGTGGAGTTTAAGATTTTTTAAAAAAGATTTTATTTATTTGACAGACAGAGATCACAAGTAGGCAGAGAGGCAGGCAGAGGGGTGGGGAAGGAAGCAGGCTCCTTGCCGAGCAGAGAGCCTGACGTGGGGCTTGATCCCAGGACCCCGGGACCATGACCTGAGCCGAAGGCAGAGGCTTTAACCCACTGAGCCACCCAGGTGCCCCTTCTTCTTTAAGATTTTATTTTATTTTTTAAAAGATCTTATTTATTTGACAGAGAGCACAAGCAGGAGGAGCAGCCGAGGGAGAGGGAGAAGCAGACTCCCCGCTGAGCAGGGAGCCCCAGGCCAGGCTTGATCCCAGGATCCCGGGATCGTGACCAGAGCCGAAGGCAGATGCCTAACAGACCGAGCCACCCAGGTGCTTCTCATTGAACAACTTTGAATATAAATCTTTTTTTTTTTTTCCCCTAAGATTCCATTTATCTATTTAACAGAGAGAGAGAGATCACAAGTAGGCAGAGAGGCAGGCAGAGAGAAAGGGGGAAGCAGGCTCCCCACCGAGCAGAGAGCCTGATGCGGGGCTCGATCCTAGGACCCTGGGATCATGACCTGAGCCGAAGGCAGAGGCTTAACTCACTGAGCCACCCTTGAATATAAATCTTTTAAGGGACCCTTGGAATAATGGGTTTGAAATGCTAGTTACCTATTTTTTTCCTACGAAACATTAAAATAAAAGCAGACAGTCCCTGGCTTACGATGGTTTGACTTAGATTTTTCAACTTTACCGTGGTGTGAAAGCAAGGGCCTATTGAGCAGAAACTGTACTTCGAGTTTTGAATTTTGATCTTTTCCCGGTTGGCGATATGTGCTATCCTCACTTGTGACGCTAGGCAGGGGCAGCCGACCACAGCTCCCAGCAAGCCCTGCCAGTGTGAGAGTCAACAACGGACACACAACCCTTCCCTAGCCATACAAGTTTGCCACTTTCGGTTCAGTATTCAATCAATTACATGAGATACTCCACAGTCTTGTAAAATAGACTCTATTGTAAAATTTATTTATTGTAAAATAAATCTCTGACTTTGCCCAACTGCAGGTGAATGTTAAGTGTTCTGAGCACATTGAAGGTAAGCTAAGCTAAGCAATGACATTCAGTAGGTTAGAAGTATTACATGCATTTGCGACTTTAGATAGTTTCAACTTACGATGGATTTATCTGGACATAAACCTTTCGTAAGTTGGGGGAGATCAGTACATAACCTTTGGAGCTCGAAGTGAGCATCCTTGTACTCTCTGAGACTATCCTATTCCATCCCATCCCTACCAGTGATGTTTGTAGCCCACGCTCAAGGAAATGCTGACATGGTGGTTAATAGCATGGGCTTTGCAGGCAGAGAAGCCTGGCCTTCAGGTCCCAGCTCTGCCATTCATGAATTCAGGATCTCGGGCAATTATCTTCACTTCTCTGCACCTCAGTTTGCTGGTCGGTCAAATGGAGGTAACAGTAGTACCAACAGCTCACAAGGTGGTTGTGAAAACTACATGAGCTCTTGGGTAGGCATGGTCAGCCTCCAGTACATGTTAGCTTTGTCCATGCTATGGCTGGAGGGAGTCCTGCCTTTCTTTTTATACTGCATTATGCCAATGGTTCTCAAACTTGAGTGTGCTCCAGAGATCTTGTGAAAATACAGATTTCTGGGCCCAGGTTTCTGGGCTCTGATTGAGGAAGTATGGGGTGGGGACCAAGATTATGCTTTCCTATCATACACCCAGGTGATGCTGCTAGTGTTACTAGCATCGGACTCTCTGCTCAGCGGAAAGCCTGCTTCCTTCCTCTCTCTCTCTCTCTGCCTACTTGTGATCTCTCTCTCTCTCTCTCTCTCTCTCTGTCAAATAATTAATTAAATATTTAAAAACAAAACAACAAAATTAATCAATTTAAAAATTAAAAAAAAAAGAAAATCAGCTGTTGAAAATCACTTGACTACAAATGTGTGGATTTATTTCTGGACTCTTAAGTCAGCTCCATTGATCTAAATGTTAATTCTTCTTTTAAGATTTTTTTTTTTAATTTGACAGACAGAAATCACAAGTAGGCAGAGAGGCAGGTAGAGACTGAGTGGGGGGGAAGCAGGCTCCCCACCGAGCAGAGAGCCTGATGTGGGGCTCGATCCTAGGACTGAGCTGAAGGCAGAGGCTTTAACCCACTGAGCCACCCAGGCACCCCCTACATGTTAATTCTTATGCTAGTACAACACCGTCTTAATTACTGTGGTTTTGTAGTGAGTTTTTGAAATTGAGAAGTGTGAATCCTCTTTGTTCTTCTTCAAGAATGTTTTATGAATTTTAGGGTGAACTTGTCAATTTTTCTACACAGAGGCCAGTCGTAATTTTGATAGAGATTGCATTGAACCTATAGATCAGTTTCGGAAGTATTGCCAACTTAACAACATTATCTCTTTTGATCCATGAACATTGGATACCTTTCCTCTTATTTAGATCTTTATTTTCTTTCAAGAATGTTTCCTAGTTTCATAGTATACATTTTTCACTTTTTGTGTTAAATTTATTTCTAAACATTTTGGGTTTTTTTGGTGCTTTCGTAAGTGGAATTGTTTTCTTTTGTTTTTTAGAGAGGGGGTAGGGGCAGAGGGAGAAGGAGAAAGAGAATCTTAAGCTGGCTCCATGTCCAATGCGGAACCTGATGTGGGGCTCGATCTCACGATCGTAAGATCATGACTTGAGCCAAAATCAAGAGTCTTACACTTAACTGACTAAGCAGTCCAGGCACCCCAGTGGAATTGTTTTCTTAATTTCCTCTTGGGATTGGTCTTTATAAATGTATAAAAATACAATTGCTTTTCGTCTATGGATGTTTTACTCTACAACCTTGCCAAACTCATTATTATTTCTGATAAGTTTTTCATAAATTCCATAGGATTTTCTATACACAAGGTCTGTCCTCTGCAAACTTATCTAATCTAGATGTCTTTTATTTAACTTTTGCTGGAATTGCTTGGCTAGAAACTCTAGTACAACCCTGAATAGAAGTTGTGAGAGTAAACTTCCTTGTCTTGTTCCTGATTTTAGGGGAAAAGCTTTCAATCTTTCATCATTAAGTATGATGTTAGCTGTGGATTTTTTGTAGATGTCCTATATATCATATTGAGGAAGTTCCCTTCTGTTCCTAGTTTGTAGTGCGTTTTTATCGTCAAGATGTTTTGCATGTTGCTAAATCCTTTTTTTTTTTTTTTGCATATATTGAGATTATCATGTGGTTTTTGTCTTTTACTTTATTGGCATGGTGCCTTACATTAACTCATTTTCATATGTTAACCCAACTTTGCATTCCTCATAAATCTCACTTGGTCATGGTTTGTGTATCACATTTTCTAGTATTTTGCTGAGGATCTTTGTGTCTCTATTCATTAGAGATACTGGTCTGAAGTTTTCTCATGTAACTTTTTGTCTGGTTTTGGTATCAGAGTAATGCTGACCTCATAGAATGAGTCGGGAAGTAGTCCCTCTTCTCTTTTTTGGAAGAGTTTGTGAAGAAATGGTATTAATTCTTTAAGTAGTTGCAGAATTATTAACCAGTGGAACGAACTGGAACTGGGCTTTTCTCTGTGGGTAGTTTTTGGTACATGTGGTTTTTAAGCATTTGAAATGGGGTTAGTATGACTGAGAAACTGGACTTTTAATTTCATTTAATATATGACAAGTTACAGATGACTATTGTTGACATTGGACAGAACAGGTCTTGGACAGTGGTTCTCAATGCGGAGGCACTACCCTCTCTGGTCATTTTGGAAGTTTGTGGGAGTTTGTGGGAGTTTTGAATCTCACTATGAATGAAAGCATCGCCCTTACAGGCTGAGGGCCAATTTCCTACGCCCGAATGGTTTCTCAGAGTCCCCACGAGACATCTAACAATACGTGCCAAGAATCTAGCTTCATTTTACATGTGAACTTGAAATATATCTTGCTTTCTTTTATTTTTTTAAGATTTTATTTATTTGTCAGAGAGAGAGAAGAGAGAGAACACAAGCAGGGGGAGCAGCAGGCAGAGGGAAAAGCAGGCTCCCTGTTGAGCAAGAAGCCTGATGCGGGACTCCATCCCAGGACACTGGGTTCATGACCTAGGCCGAAGGCAGACACTTAACCGACTGAGCCACCCAGGCATCCCTCTCACTTGCTTTTAACATACACTGAATTTTCCAGGAATTCAACTATTATGTACATCGGAAGAAGATTGTGTTTTGTTTTGTTTTGTTTTGTTTGGATCTTAACCAAGAGCTGTTCACTATATTTGGAAAATCCCTTCACTGAAGGCAACACTCATAGTAAAACCCATTGTTTTTTGGCTGCCATTGTAGCTGACTCGTTTACTGTGATTCTAAATACATGTAAAAAGTCTCAAAATATATACACATGTCTCTTTTAAAATATCAAATATAGGGGTGCCTGGGTGGCTCAGTGGGCTAAAGCCTCTGCCTTCGGCTCAGGTCATGATCCCAGGGTGCTGGGATCGAGCCCCACATTGGGCTCTCTGCTCAGCAGGGAGCATGCTCCCTTCTCTCTCTCTCTGCCTGCCTCTCTGCCTACTCATGACCTCTGTCAAGTAAATAAATAAAGTCTTTAAAAAAGAA